GTACACCGTGTGGGAGGCAGAAAAAGAGAAAACACGACTACAGCTCTCATGCAGTGCTCAAGGTCTAGAAGACTCTGTAGGCCGATGTTTGAACATAAATGATAAAAAAAAAACATCCTGCTGGTCAAAAGTTTGTGGGAAACCTTAGGGAAACTATATTGAACACAACTTATCTAGATGATAAAAATCATAAATCTTGTTCTGTCTACTTTATGATGCCTTGTTGATACTCCGTTTGCAAATGAACATTATCATAGTATGCACTTAAAGAAGTAGTTCACCCAAAAATGAAAATTTGCTGAAAATGTACTCATCCTCAGCCAATCCAAGATATAGATGAGTTTTTTCTTCACTGGAACAGATTTGCGGAAATGTATAATTTCATCACTTGCTCACCGATGGATCCTCTGCAGTGAATGGGTGCCATCAAAATGAGCTGCTAAAAATATTGACACAGACAAATTCATCAATAAGATGTTTTTCATTTCAATTCTTTGTTTTTCAGCTATAATGCATCCTATATACATAATGTTGCTAATATTGTCTCGTCTGAATCAGTTATAAAGTTGAATAAAGTTAATTAATGGACTGGAGTCATTTGATTACTTATAGACTTATCTGTATCTTGGATGGCCTGAGGGTGAGTACATTTTAAGCAAATTTTCATTTTTGGGTGAACTATTTTATTTTTATACCTTTTAGTGAACATTTCCTAAAAAATTACAAATAAATTTCCCTTAGTGTGAAGACATTTTTTTTCCACTATAAAGATCCTTTTTGTAGAATGGAAAGGTTCCATGGACGTTGTTCTTCATGGAACCATAAATGCCATTAAAAAGCCTTTTATGTTCAAGAGTGTAAGCCCTTGCAAATGCACAATACCCATAACAATTTAGAAAGCTGAAGTCAAGCATGTAGGAAGGCATCCTTTCAACCTGTCACTTTCAGATGTCTGCCATTTCTCTCAAAACAGCCTCCAACCCTGAGGCACTCTATTTACATGAGAACTACTGAAGTGATCAAGAGGGATTACCCCCGATTGGCTAATCCATCTGGAAACATGGATAATCGTGTTTCTTGACATGCCCGGCCTGAGCCTGGTATAACTGGGATTTCATTTTAGGATCCCAATGGTAGGATGTATCATTGGCAAACAGTATGACACAACCACTGCACCAAAACCTTTTAGTTAAAATTTGACAACATGTTGAATGAACAAGGAAAAGTCCCAATAATAGATTTGTCCCAGAAAAAATACTGATTCATGCACACTCATGCAGTTTACAGTATTAATAGTAGACATGAATCTCACGTGCTTCTAGGTCTTGGAAAACAATAAACAGTGGCGGCTGCTGAGGAACCGCAGCGGTCAGTTGGGCTACGTGCCGTGTAATGTGCTAGAAGAGGTCAAACCAGGAGAGCAGCAGTACAACCGTGCTGCTCTCTTCAACAGCCAGGTTGGCATGCAGTCCAAAAACCTCACAGTAACATTGTTTATCACACAGTCTGGTTTATTACTTGCATTCTACAAGGCACATTTCATGAACTTTCATGTCTTATTACTTTTTGTGTAAGCATTATTGCAAGAAAAAAATAGTTATATCGAGAGTCACTGAGAATGGTACAGGGGTCATTTAGCAAACATCTATTATAAATGAAAATATACTTTTATCACCGGCTTTAACAAACTACAACTGGCAAATAGACATTAGTCAGGTTAGATGGCATGTTTTATGGACATTTTTTATGAAAGTTTTTTTTTGGATGAAAAATGTTTCATCAAGTTGTTAAACAACAGTACAGTCCATTCAATGCACAGTTTCTATCCCTTACAGCATTTACATTTCTGTCAAAAATTAAATATGGCGCTACCCCTAATAAGGCCTATAGTTCTATGAATTACATGCAATCTGTAATGATCTGTAAGAAAGGAGGTGTGTTGAAAATGGACAGTGACTTCAGCTCATTTAGTTTAGCATTAGTGGTACAGGACAAATACAATGTCTTATGTAGTGAAATCTAGTAGATATGTTGGATGAATTGATGTCAGGTGATTTTGGCCTATTGTTTTTTAAATGTCTTTTTTTATTTTCTATCTATCTATCTATCTATCTATCTATCTATCTATCTATCTATCTATCTATCTATCTATCTATCTATCTATCTATCTATCTTGAAAGAAACTTCAAAGTATTGTGCTGTGTTGCTATTTCTATCACACAGGTCGAACAGCGACCTCCAACATGTTAGGATACGCTATCACTTCGTGGCACGTAATGCCAATGAGCTCTCTGTGCAGCCGGGTGAGGTGCTGGAGGTACGGATAACCCTCAGTGAGGAGGTGGAGGAGGATGGGGAACAGGGCAGAACAGGTCTGAGGTACACCGTGTGGGAGGCAGAAAAAGAGAAAACACGACTACAGCTCTCATGCAGTGCTCAAGGTCTAGAAGACTCTGTAGGCCGATGTTTGAACATAAATGATAAAAAAAAAACATCCTGCTGGTCAAAAGTTTGTGGGAAACCTTAGGGAAACTATATTGAACACAACTTATCTAGATGATAAAAATCATAAATCTTGTTCTGTCTACTTTATGATGCCTTGTTGATACTCCGTTTGCAAATGAACATTATCATAGTATGCACTTAAAGAAGTAGTTCACCCAAAAATGAAAATTTGCTGAAAATGTACTCATCCTCAGCCAATCCAAGATATAGATGAGTTTTTTCTTCACTGGAACAGATTTGCGGAAATGTATAATTTCATCACTTGCTCACCGATGGATCCTCTGCAGTGAATGGGTGCCATCAAAATGAGCTGCTAAAAATATTGACACAGACAAATTCATCAATAAGATGTTTTTCATTTCAATTCTTTGTTTTTCAGCTATAATGCATCCTATATACATAATGTTGCTAATATTGTCTCGTCTGAATCAGTTATAAAGTTGAATAAAGTTAATTAATGGACTGGAGTCATTTGATTACTTATAGACTTATCTGTATCTTGGATGGCCTGAGGGTGAGTACATTTTAAGCAAATTTTCATTTTTGGGTGAACTATTTTATTTTTATACCTTTTAGTGAACATTTCCTAAAAAATTACAAATAAATTTCCCTTAGTGTGAAGACATTTTTTTTCCACTATAAAGATCCTTTTTGTAGAATGGAAAGGTTCCATGGACGTTGTTCTTCATGGAACCATAAATGCCATTAAAAAGCCTTTTATGTTCAAGAGTGTAAGCCCTTGCAAATGCACAATACCCATAACAATTTAGAAAGCTGAAGTCAAGCATGTAGGAAGGCATCCTTTCAACCTGTCACTTTCAGATGTCTGCCATTTCTCTCAAAACAGCCTCCAACCCTGAGGCACTCTATTTACATGAGAACTACTGAAGTGATCAAGAGGGATTACCCCCGATTGGCTAATCCATCTGGAAACATGGATAATCGTGTTTCTTGACATGCCCGGCCTGAGCCTGGTATAACTGGGATTTCATTTTAGGATCCCAATGGTAGGATGTATCATTGGCAAACAGTATGACACAACCACTGCACCAAAACCTTTTAGTTAAAATTTGACAACATGTTGAATGAACAAGGAAAAGTCCCAATAATAGATTTGTCCCAGAAAAAATACTGATTCATGCACACTCATGCAGTTTACAGTATTAATAGTAGACATGAATCTCACGTGCTTCTAGGTCTTGGAAAACAATAAACAGTGGCGGCTGCTGAGGAACCGCAGCGGTCAGTTGGGCTACGTGCCGTGTAATGTGCTAGAAGAGGTCAAACCAGGAGAGCAGCAGTACAACCGTGCTGCTCTCTTCAACAGCCAGGTTGGCATGCAGTCCAAAAACCTCACAGTAACATTGTTTATCACACAGTCTGGTTTATTACTTGCATTCTACAAGGCACATTTCATGAACTTTCATGTCTTATTACTTTTTGTGTAAGCATTATTGCAAGAAAAAAATAGTTATATCGAGAGTCACTGAGAATGGTACAGGGGTCATTTAGCAAACATCTATTATAAATGAAAATATACTTTTATCACCGGCTTTAACAAACTACAACTGGCAAATAGACATTAGTCAGGTTAGATGGCATGTTTTATGGACATTTTTTATGAAAGTTTTTTTTTGGATGAAAAATGTTTCATCAAGTTGTTAAACAACAGTACAGTCCATTCAATGCACAGTTTCTATCCCTTACAGCATTTACATTTCTGTCAAAAATTAAATATGGCGCTACCCCTAATAAGGCCTATAGTTCTATGAATTACATGCAATCTGTAATGATCTGTAAGAAAGGAGGTGTGTTGAAAATGGACAGTGACTTCAGCTCATTTAGTTTAGCATTAGTGGTACAGGACAAATACAATGTCTTATGTAGTGAAATCTAGTAGATATGTTGGATGAATTGATGTCAGGTGATTTTGGCCTATTGTTTTTTAAATGTCTTTTTTTTTTTTCTATCTATCTATCTATCTATCTATCTATCTATCTATCTATCTATCTATCTATCTATCTATCTATCTATCTATCTATCTATCTGTCTGTCTATCCATTAATTAATTAATTTATTAGTTTATACATGTTTAGTGCTAGAAAATTACATAGAAATGTTAGGGTGTATATTTAGAAAGGTTCCAGTATTGCTTACAGGGTAGAAAAATTGCACACCTCATGGAAAATGAACAGAAATAGGTTAATATAATATATCAGACCATTTTCTGAAGGTTAAGCACTTTCTTTCACTAACCACTTGTGGAAAAGGAGAAAATACTTCATTTAAAAATATATATATTTTCAGACTCTTTTTTGTACCCTGTTCATGGAAAGTGCACACATACTGTATATTCTCCCACTCTACATGGCAGGCGTTGACTCTTTCTTTTTCTTCCCCTCTGTTTTTCCCTGGCTTTTGTTTTATCTCTACAGGCTGTGAAACCTTACAAAGTTACCTCCACTGGCCCTGTAAATCACGCTGAGGTTTTGGAGATGAATAAATCCTCCAGGGATAAAGATAGTACGTACCTCTTATCTGCTCGCTGTATTTGCTGTGAGATGGAGAGTGGGGAGAGTCTGCCGAAAAAATGCAGAGAAGTGGGAAATGAATTTGGTGTGAGAGTGCTCTTATGTACATAGATTGCAGATTCCCACCAGAGCTCATTGCTCCTGTCTTGGGCAATCTTATTCACTGTGTCTCTGTCCCAGTGCTTGTTTCTCTATCTCTCGCTTCTTCTGCCTATTTCTCTAGATCGCAACCAACAGAAGGAGGTAAATGATGAACTGCTGAAGAGGATAACCGACAATAAGGCCCAGCCCCCAGCTCGAAACTTTCAGGAGGAGTGCTCAACTACATCTGTGCCCATCACATTTGATTCCCAGCCCTTTGAGGTCCATGCTTGGCTCAATGCAAAGGGCTTCTCTAGACCGTGAGTGACACGTGAGCTGTGACATGTGACACTTTCACTGATATATATGGGTGGTGTAACCTAGTGGTTAAACATATTGGCTATTAGCTGAGGTTACAAGTTCAAACCTCACAGGCGATGAACCATGTACCCTTGAGGAAGGTACTTACCCCCCAGTTTGCTCCAGGGGGACTATGATAAAGATGTACTGTAAACATACATAATAATATGTACAGTATAAGAATGTTGTAAGGGTCACATTATCTTGCAAACACCACTGGCTTTATCCTAAACTACAGCTGGCAAATCATTTAATGAATATGGTGCTTATTTCTAATGAGCCCAATTTACACATACTGTAAAAAATAAATTGCTGAATAAGGTTGAATCCAAGGCAACTTGATGCATCTCGACTATAATAATTGTACTCAGTAACGCTACTATGATTTGTCCATTTAAATTTGTGCTAATTCAGCCAATACATTCGTCAAGACAACAGCAGATTTCCTGTTCAACAAATTTTCATTTAGTAACAGAATAAATTAATTTTAGAAATGAATTTGAATAAATTAATTTCACTCAATATGTAGGAACAACGATCCTACAAAGCGAAGATATTTATAGTTTTAAAGGAGTCATGAACTGAGAAATCAAAATTCCCTTGATCTTTTGACATATAAGAGGTCATTGTGCTATAAAATCATTCTGTACGTTTCAGAACTCAAAACTTTCTTGTTAGTCTAAAAATCATCTTAAATTGAAGACAATCTGCCAAAATGACAGCTTGCAAAATGTACAGCTCCACCTAAACACCGCCTCTGCAGAAGAAGATCAACGGCTGCTTCTACGTCACTGCCTGTTTAGCCCCGCCCACCGATTCTACATCACTGCCTGTTTAGCCCCCATCACATTTGATTCCCAGCCCTTTGAGGTCCATGCTTGGCTCAATGCAAAGGGCTTCTCTAGACCGTGAGTGACACGTGAGCTGTGACATGTGACACTTTCACTGATATATATGGGTGGTGTAACCTAGTGGTTAAACATATTGGCTATTAGCTGAGGTTACAAGTTCAAACCTCACAGGCGATGAACCATGTACCCTTGAGGAAGGTACTTACCCCCCAGTTTGCTCCAGGGGGACTATGATAAAGATGTACTGTAAACATACATAATAATATGTACAGTATAAGAATGTTGTAAGGGTCACATTATCTTGCAAACACCACTGGCTTTATCCTAAACTACAGCTGGCAAATCATTTAATGAATATGGTGCTTATTTCTAATGAGCCCAATTTACACATACTGTAAAAAATAAATTGCTGAATAAGGTTGAATCCAAGGCAACTTGATGCATCTCGACTATAATAATTGTACTCAGTAACGCTACTATGATTTGTCCATTTAAATTTGTGCTAATTCAGCCAATACATTCGTCAAGACAACAGCAGATTTCCTGTTCAACAAATTTTCATTTAGTAACAGAATAAATTAATTTTAGAAATGAATTTGAATAAATTAATTTCACTCAATATGTAGGAACAACGATCCTACAAAGCGAAGATATTTATAGTTTTAAAGGAGTCATGAACTGAGAAATCAAAATTCCCTTGATCTTTTGACATATAAGAGGTCATTGTGCTATAAAATCATTCTGTCCGTTTCAGAACTCAAAACTTTCTTGTTAGTCTAAAAATCATCTTATATTGAAGACAATCTGCCAAAACGACAGCTTGCAAAATGTACAGCTCCACCTAAACACCGCCTCTGCAGAAGAAGATCAACGGCTGCTTCTACGTCACTGCCTGTTTAGCCCCGCCCACCGATTCTACATCACTGCCTGTTTAGCCCCACCCACCGATTCTACATCACTGCCTGTTTAGCCCCGCCCACCATGCAGGTCTACACAGAAACCAAACAATAAACTTTATTTGATGAACTTTATTATTACAGTTTTTCTCAGTCGCTTTGGTGCATTTCTCAGATCAGAAATGAAATTCTCAAAACTACTTGTTCAACCTCCACATCATCTAGTCAATTGAGCACATTATAAAAGCAGTTTCTCATTCTTTTGAACAAGTTGCGATTGCTTTGGTACATTCATGCAATTGATTATGTACATTTATCTGCGGTTTCCTACATTATCAGTTGCTAATGTGATGTTGCTTAAAATGTATTATATAGTTCTCTGTGCAACAGTCTTACACCCCAAAACATCTAGTCATTAGTTCATCGTATAAGTCATTAAATGCTAAATGGTTGATCTAGTTGTCATAAACTGTCAAGCATATTTTCTACACATTTCTATAAGACTTTTTGTAAATTTGCCATGAATTGTGCAAGTGAATCTTGACTTTCACTAATGAAGAGAATGTAGATCAGCTAATGATAAACCAGTTCTCTGAAATAGCTCAAAGGTGCATCTCATGAACCTTCAATTGGAAAGCATAGACAGAGGGCAACACAAGAGTTACAAATTCTGACAATGGATATTTCCTCCCCTTTGGCCTGGTAAATCAACAGTAGCTCTGTGGCCGATGACATTTCAACCACACCTTCTGCTTTTGGTCAGGTTGAGGCCAGCCTCATTCACATATACTGTATGAAGTTGTGAGATGGTTCACTTGACTCCAATTCCACGTTACATTGCAAGGGAAGATATTCACTGTGATGTAGACGAGAATCTGTGGACCGACAGACTGGCATGTCAGGAGATGTAGACAGACTACACTGCAATTCCTCATACAGTGCTGCATGCAAAAGCAAAGTTCTGCCTAAGGGGTGTTTTCTGTGTTTGCCTTTCTAATTTTTATTTTATTTTCGCCTTTGTGCCCATATTTATTTTCTATCACATTGACGTTGTTAAGGTTTTTTTTTGTCAGACCACTAGTAAAGTGTAACTGTGAATCCTATCTAGTCTCTTTCAATCAATATCCCACATACAATAATGTGTAAATGTGCACTTTTGAAATGGATATATGACATACATAAGAAGTGCAGCATTCTGCATTTCAATACAGTAACTGTCATCCAAACTGTTGCCATAGTTTACATCAGGTAATACTAACAAAGTGCACTCTTATGTTGACAACATGACTAAGCATTTTGACTATCTTGTTTGTGAACAATGACAGAAGGACTTTTCATTCTGATGGCACTGATATGTTCATTGACATAAATACTTGCTTTTGAGAGA